CACAACTCCAAACACACCTGCACCTACACTACACAAAACACACCTGCATCTACACTACTCCACTACTCCAATTACACCTGCATCTACACTACTCCACAACTCCAAACACACCTGCATCTACACTACTCCTACCACACCTGCATCTACACTACTTCACTACTTCACTACTCCAAACACACTACTTCACTACTCCAAACATACCTTCATCTTCACTACTTCACTACTTCACTACTCCAAACACACCTACATCTACACTACTTCACTACTCCAAACACACCTGTATCTACACTACTTCACTACTTCACTACTACAAACACACCTGTATCTTCACTACTTCACTACTCCAAACACACCTGCATCTACACTACTTCACTACTCCAAACACACCTGCATCTACACTACTTCACTACTCCAAACACACCTCCATCTACATTACCTCACTATTCCAAAAACACCTGCATCTAAACTAATCCACTGCTCCAAACACACATGCACATAGACTACTCCACTACTCCAAACACACATACATCTACACTACTCCAAACACCTGTAAGTAGACTACTCCAAACACATCTGCATCTACATTACTCCAAACACTTCCTGCAAGTAGACTACCTCACTACTCCAAACACACCTACAACGTCACTACTCCACTACTCCAATCACACCTGCGTATACACTACTCAAAACACACCTGTATCTACAGTACTCCAAACAACATCTACACTACTCCACTACTCCAAACACACCGGCATTTAAACTTCTCAACAACTCCAAACACACCTGCATCTATGCTACTCCAAACACACCTGCATCTACACCACTCCAAACACACCTGTATCTACACTTGTCCACTACTCCAAACACACCTGCAACTACACTACTCCAAACACACCTGCATCTATGCAACTACAAACACACTTGCATCTACTGTACTCAAAAACACACCTGCAACTAGACTACTCCAAACTCACCTGAATATGTGCAACCCAAACACACCTACAACGAGACTACTTTATTACTCCAAACACACCTCAGTCTACAATACTTCACTATTCCAAACAAACCTGCAACTAGACAACTCCAAACACACCTGCACCTACACTACACAAAATACACCTGCATCTACACTACTCCACTACTCCAATTACACCTGCAGCTACACTACTCCACAACTCCAAACACACCTGCATCTACACTACTCCAAACACACCTGCATCTACACTACTCCTACCACACCTGCATCTACAATACTCCACTACTCCAAACACACCTGCAGCTAAACTACTCCAAACACACCTGCATCTACACTACTCCTACCACACCTGCATCTACAATACTCCACTACTCCAAACACACCTGCAGCTAAACTACACCACCACTCCGAACACAAATGCAACTAAATTAGTCCAGTACTCTAGATTACTACAATACTCAAAAGACACCTGAAACTAGACTGCTCTGCATCTACACTACTCCAAACACACCTGCTCTGCATCTACACTAGTCCAAACACACCTACTGTGCATCTACACTAGTCCAAACACACCTACTGTGCATCTACACTAGTCCAAACACACCTACTGTGCATCTACACTACTCCAAACACACTTACACCTTCACCACTGTTACAACTGTTCCTTGAGTTTATATTCACCAGTTAGGCCAGTCTTCCCATTGGAAATCCACATCTTACCCCTACTCTACTACCCAACTATCCAACCTTTATTTCACTTCTACCAATGCTATATTGCACAACCACCCATCCTTTATCACTAATCCTTAATGTTAGATTAATTTGTATTTTAAGAATAATGACTAAAGGATTTCACCCCAAATTCAGTATAAATGTGTGAACGGTGTTAAGAGTTATAATGTAGTGTCAACCCACTAACAGAGGGGGGCGGGACTAAACATTCCAGGGTGAAGGAGACTGAGAAAACGGGTTAAAAAAGCCTCCTAAAGGTGGGTGGAGCAAAGTGCCTTTGTGTGTCAAGAGGTATAAAACAGGAGTGTATGGGTTTTGGCGCCAGAGCTCTCCATGAATAAAAATACATTTCATTCTTGCTGGTTGTGGACCTTGAATCATTTATGATTAAAACCAGAGCCTTACAACCTCTGGTAATGATTCAAGCTTAGGTTTAATTAGAGATAGAAATTCTCATGACACTTAATTACAAAACTACCCATTACACAACTATCCACCATTTATTACATTTTACATTTTAGTCATTTAGCAGACGCTCTTATCCAGAGCGACTTACAGTTAGTGAGTGCATACATTTTTCATACTGGCCCCCCGTGGGAATCGAACCCACAACACTGCCGTTGCAAGCGCCACGCGTACCCA